ACCAGCCAGCCTCCAGGTTAGAAAATTCACATACAATATCTCATTTAATTCTTAAACTGTTCCATGGAGCTTGGTACTGCTATCCCTGCTTACAGATGGAAACACTGAGGTTTAGGGAAGATAGCTACTTGCCCACCATCACAGACCATGATAGGGAAAGGCTGAAGCAAGACAGGTGGAGACAGCCATGAACAAATTGCTGGAACCAGTTTGAGGATATTTGAGCAACGCCAACTGTGGAGCCCCTGCCTCTGTCCTGGGTCCCATTTCCTCACTAGGTCTGCTTGGTTCCAAAGACCTCAGCACTGAGGAACTCTCCTCACACATCTTCCTGTGGTGTCAGCCTGAGGCCTGGGTTTCAAGTTACAGCCCAAGCTGGAGGCCTGGATAAATAATACTGAAAGAAGAAGAAACGTGAAGGACGCCCATTCCTGCCTAGTTTGTGCTAACCACAGGCCTGCCACACTGGGGCTGAGGTTTCTCTGTGCTCTTGGCCTTCTTCTATCCGCTCAGAACAAATGCCACACTGGGCTGGCTTCCCGTGATTTTGTTTCACAACTTAAATAAACCAAATTTTGCTGGCATCTTGAAGCAGAATCTGAGCAAAGTTTCCTCAAGGCTTCAAAGGCCTGTAAGTGGGTGTGTTCAAGCCATGTTACAGATTTTTCAAGAATTAGGCCCTCCATACATTTGCAGACTCTGTGACTCTTTCTACAGGTTATCACCATCTCAAGACCCTCCCATCTTCCTCCATGAATCTTTCACAGTGAATATTTACTGTGTGACATTCCATGCAGACCCTGGACAAAAGGTTTCCATGTCATTTATGAGACAGGAATTATAAGTCCCATTTTATACATGAAGAAGCAGAGCCCCAGATGGCACAGGAAGATGAGAATCAAGGGCTGTATGGTTTCCAAGTTCAAAGCCCCTAGAGCATCCAATCTCTGCCTTCTCTTTGTACCGTCTTAGCAACTTAGAAGCCACCTGGTATATCAGCTGTTTGTGTGGTTTCTAATCTCCCTTCCTTGAGCACAAGCCCTGGAAAGAGTCCTGTGGCCGTCCCCTTTTGTGCCTAGGCCAGAGTCTGGCACCAATGAAGCACTCTTGTGAGCATTGGTTGACTAAATCCTGGCTGGCTTTCGGGAAAAATAACTCAAGCGAAAGCCTCAGGCCAACTCCATCCATCTTCCAAAGGGATCTGTATGTATTGCTGTCTGCTTGCTTGGGTGCCCTAATCAACAACAAAATCCCAGGCCAGATGAGAGAATAAAGATACTGTTTATATTTTTAGGAATGGCTCAAAGAACTCCTGCAGTCCCTGGTATAGCATGGCTCTAATAAAACAACTTCTTGGCTTCAAAACATTTCATGAGCCATAATTATTGGTGGCATCCCTAAGTTGGTCACTGAGCCAAATTGGATAGCCAAGCCAGGACTTGGAATATCCACCCAGAGGGCACACTGAGCCCCAAAGGGGATATGTATGTAGAAGTGAGTAGCAGCCACATTCAATGACCTGGTTCTGGAGGCAGCGTGTCATGAAAGGAAGATTCCTGAATGCGGTCCAAATCTGGGTTGCCCTGGCCATTCAACTGCAGTTCTCTCACTCCCTGGCCTTAAGCTCAATACCATCAGTCCCACACCATCCTTTTCCCAGATGGCTATTTGGCTGGCTCAGAGCTCTCTGTGTGTGCTCGATTTTGCCTTTTATCTGGGTGTTGGTTGGTGATTCTCCCCTCCAGCAACTCTTTTTGCCCTGCCAGTTCATCATGGCTGTCTGGTTTCCCATCCAGAGAATCTGGTCCACAGATCTCCCAAGAGTCAATGATCTGGATGACAGATCCTCCTGGCTGGTGACTCAACCCGCCATGAGTCCCAGCACTCTTGTGGAGCTGAACCCTCTCCTGGACAAGCTGCTGGTTTTCTTAACACAAAACATTCTTGGCTCATGGGTTGTATTTCTTGGGTCACTAATCCCCCTGTCTGCAAAAAGTGTCCCAAGTGATTCAGCTTTACATCTAGGGGCTTGTGGACTCAAACTTTGTTCCAGAAGGAGCAGGATTTAGTCACTTTTGAAGTGGAGCTCAACACAGAGAAATCAAGAAGAAAGCTCAGAGGTGGAGACCCAGGGCTCTGCTCAGCCTAGAGGAACAGGGCACAGACTAATTTGGACACTATAGAGAAGAGACATCTTCCTTGAAAGTGGGTCCAAAACCCAGCAAAAGTAAGCCACGGGGAAAGAGGATCTCCATTTGTGTCCCCCAGGTGGACTCTCTCATGCATTATGAGAAGAAACCAGGGACTGGACAGGGCAGAAGACCAAAGATGCTCCTGTAAAATGTTTTTCCCAGAACATTAAACCAGAATTGGGTCAATTCTCTAGACCTATTACCAGTTTATAGAAAAGTAAAGAGGATGAATAGGTTATACACCACCACAAAATCCCAAATGTAGGAAATTCACCAGACAGCTCAGCATCCTCAACAAAGAAATGGCAAAGGAAACAAAAAAAGGTGGGTAGATATTTATGAGACTCAGCAACCTTGTTTGGATCTGATTTGAACAAAGCAATGAAAAAAGGCATTTATGAGACCATCTGGGAAATGTGTACCTATTTAGTATTATTACTGGGCCTCTGCTGTTATTGTTGACTACTTGTTGTTTTGATGAAGAGGAAATTCCTTTGGAGATGCTGTCCTCCTTTGCTAGAGCCACCGAAGCTTCAGAAATGTCTCCCAGTTCTTGCTGACTTTCACCTGGCTCATTCATGCTTCCTTCACAGGGTCAGTGCCATGCCCCCAGAAATATCCACATTTTCCTTCTGGGGCAGTGGCAGCTCTAGACTCATCTGTTCTCTCCCTTCCTTGCTCCTCCTTTGCCATCTCACTGTCTTGCCTCCCTTTGCCTGCTCCCAGGCTCCCCTTCACTCCCATCCAGTCCCAGTTTCCAGAAGAAATATAGGGTAGAAAGAGCTATCCTTCCCATCCCTTCTCTTGCTGGACCCCCTGACACCACCTCTCCTAATGCCCAGAGGAACCTCAGTGAGGGCCAATTGAAAGCTTCTATAAATCAGGAAAGCATGGGGTGGAGTGAAGGGAAGCCAGAAAGACTCAGGACTTATGAATGCATAATACTGGACATTTTGGAAATGGATGGGCCTGGTGCCAGTCCTTGCCCGGGTTCCCGCATTGTACTCTGCTTACAAAAGGGCTGTTATGAGCAGCTCCACATCTCTGTGTGACAGGTTCGGAGCCACAAATGGTATGACGTTACAGGGACCAGGGGATGAATAGCTTTCCCAGCCCTGTCCTCATTGTCAAGGGCCATGAAATTCTGGAAGGAGGTGCAGGAGGGAGGGCCTCAAGGCAGTTCCCAGCCTTCCTACAGAAAGGGCTGGTGGGATGGCCCAAGACATCAGCCACAACGGCTTACACCATGACCACCAGAAATCCCCACTCCAAATCCTGGAGTACATCCAGTGTCACTGTACCTCTTCCTCACTGCCACATGTGTACACACAGAGGCTGGCCACTCAGTTTATCTGCCCCACACATGACATCTTGGGAGAGCAGCATCCCCCTCCCCCATTCTCCAGCTCTGCATTTTCTTTTGGGATCGTTTCTTCTCTGTATGCTTTCTACTTGGAAAACTGTAAGCAGGTAGTCAAGCCAGCTGGATTCACATCCTCCCTGGGTAATTACTAATTTGTTGGAGTCCACATTCACCTTTCCATAAGATGAAGAGACTGAAGTTAAAGATTGTTTTAAAAGTCTCTTCCAGTTACTACTGTAGGTTATAAGGAAATATGGTATTATCTTCTCCCCAAAAGCTGAGTGCATGGCTTGACTGGGTCCCATTGTCTTTCTCTTTGCTTTCTGAACCATTCAAGGTAAACCTCAACTAGCTCTCCCTCACTTCCTCAACACACACCCCCCCCCCATGTCTTTGGGTTCCGATATATCCAGTTTTTCCTTGTAGCTCTGAAGGGGACTTCTTTGCATATTACCCACATGTATTCACTTCAGCATATAGAAGACATTATAAGATAATCAACAGTCTTTCTAACTGTTGGTGACAGCCCCACACTGCAGAGCCCTGCAACAACAAGAAAAATCTCACAAAGTCGTCTAACAGTCTCCCATATGTTGAGGCCATAGGAAGGAAATAGTAGAACTTCAATTTGTGTTTACCTTTATCACATTTGTAAAAATTTTCTATTCCTTGTATGTGATTTATATAGCAGGATATGTGTATCATTTATAAATGTGCCTGTAATGGGGATCCAGGTTCAAAAAGACTTGTCAGATGGGGTATATAATCAAAAAAAAGTTAAGCCTTCACTTTAGACCATATCCAAAAGGTGGAGATCGTTACAAGGATTTCATCTGATCATAGCCAAAGGGACCAGGGAGGATCCTAGGTAACTCTCCTCCAAGGCTACACTAGCCAATGGAACCCAATGCTGTCTAGGGCATTGGTCACACCCCTCACTAATCCCTTGAAGGATCATGGTGTATCATGTCCTCTTTTCCTCAGGGTTCCCATCATAAGAACATTGGTTCCCACTCTCTTTCCAGAACAACTCATGTCAGCCCCCGAGGCTTCCATTGTAGGAATACTCATTCCACTGAATGCATTGAAGACAGAGCTCTGGCCTTTTCTAGCTCTTTAAAGGATTCACTTACTAAGTCTAACCTGATAAATTTATTTGAGAAAGCAGGAGCTGAGTTTTAAATGTATGAAAGGAAGGAAGGAAGGAAGGAAGGAAGGAAGGAAGGAAGGAAGGAAGTCTGGGAAATGTGAAGGAAGAAGCATGCTCAACTCCCGAGGAGCAGACAACCCAGAGATAGAGGCTGGTGGGTAAAATAAGTCCATAGTAAGTAGGTCATTGTTTCACAGTTGCATTGTATGGCAGCTGTTCCCATCTGGGGCAGACATGCTGGATTGCCTTCACCGATGCACAATGGAGAGATTGGAACAGAAGTTGGGCTACTCACCCACACACTGGTTGCCTTCATCCATCTGGTATCCAAAGCGGCAGACAAGAGGCCTGGAAATCGTGGGGTAGTTTGAAGCTGATACTGGTGGGGCAGCTGCTGGGTATGGACCTGAGTAGGGAGTCGAATAGGGATTCGAATAGGGCCCTCGATATACTGGGTTTGTTCGGGGAATGCATAAATAGCCGCCATTTTGGTTAACACACATCATGTCTCCTCGGCAGGCCTCGGGGATGGTCCGGCATTCGTCAATATCTGTAAAGACCACAGAGGAGATAAGCATTCGTGGCCCCCAACCACATTGTGCATGGTGCACGTGTAAGCAGAGCTCTGTATCAAAAGTGACATGATGGACCCCCAAACACACTTCATCAGCATCTGTTCCAGCCTTTCCCTGGCTCCTAACAGACAGATGCTCCCAAATGAAGTAACCAGGGTCACCCAAACATTAGCTATTTGCATTTCACCATCATGATTCAAACACATTATGTGGAGTCATCTAAAAGTATGAAACCAATGACTATACAGGTTTCTGTGAATGTGGTCAAAACAAATGTATTTTTTAAATCTTACATGACTACAACAAATAAAAAATACTCTCAATTTGCATAAATAGAAGCAACAGTAGAAATAAATGCATAGCCATTAAAATAAAGAGTGTTTATTTGTGGATGTAAAAACACATCATATACTCTTGTCCACACATACTATACTTGAAAACACAGAATTGCTCCCACTTCTATCCCAGATAACAGCTGGGCAGGGGAGAAAGAGATCTTTGCATCAAGAATGACAAGGTTTGCACTCTTGGGGATATACCCAAAAGACTGTTACTCCAGAGGCACCTGCATATCCATGTTTATTGCGGCACTATTCACAATAGCCAAGTTATGGAAACAGCCAAGATGCCCCAGCACTGACGAATGAATTAAGAAAATGTGGTATCTATACACAATGGAATTTTATGCAGCCATGAAGAAGAACGAAATGTTATCATTCGCTGGTAAATGGATGGAATTGGAGAACATCATTCTGAGTGAGGTTAGCCTGGCTCAAAAAACCAAAAATCGTATGTTCTCCCTCATATGTGGACATTAGATCAAGGGCAAACACAACAAGGGGATTGGACTATGAGCACATGATAAAAGCGAGAGCACACAAGGGAGGGGTGAGGATAGGTAAGACACCTAAAAAACTAGCTAGCATTTGTTGCCCTTAATGCAGAGAAACTAAAGCAGATACCTTAAAGCAACTGAGGCCAATAGGAAAAGGGGACCAGGAACTAGAGAAAAGGTTAGATCAAAAAGAATTAACCTAGAAGGTAACACACACGCACAGGAAATCAATGTGAGTCAATGCCCTGTATAGCTATCCTTATCTCAACCAGCAAAAACCCTTGTTCCTTCCTATTATTGCTTATACTCTCTCTACAACAAAATTAGAGATAAGGGCAAAATAGTTTCTGCTGGGTATTGAGGGGGGGGGAGCGGGAGGGGGTGGAGTGGGTGGTAAGGGAGGGGGTGGGGGCAGGGGGGAGAAATGAACCAAGCCTTGTATGCACATATGAATAATAAAAGAAAAATGAAAAAAAAAAAAAGAATGACAAGGTTTGGCTTAGAGCTGGTTACTTGCTAAGAAGGTACAGCCTTATTTTAAAGTCAGCCCACATTGTGCCAGCAAACAGGACCACATCCAGCCATGCTGGAGCTCAGCTCATACTAGAAGGAGAGAAGTGCTCTGTCTAGAAAATCAGCCTTGCTGGGGAGGAAGCAGGGGAGGCCCCAACTCTGGCTCTCATGAGAAGCAGGCTTGGCTCCAGAAGCTAGGCCCTGCCACCCAGCCTCAGAGTCTGCTTTATGTGGAACCAGAGACTGGGGAGAGGACTGGATGCCAACAGCTTACCCACAATCTCATCTGAGAAATTCATGCCAACTCTCTGCTTGGGAAAGGAGACTGTAATGGTCTGTTCTCTAGTTAAAACTAGTGAGATAGAAGAGAAGGCTGTTGCTCTCTTTGTCACTCAGCACATCCTCAAATCAAAGTGCTTCACTGTTAATCCAAGATGAGCCCAAATTTCCCAGGACAGGGTTTTACTCATCATTCTTTCAAACATCTATCTCCCCTCAGATTCTTAGCTGATGTAAGTTCAGAGAGGCCAAATGATTTGACTAAATCAAATATAATTTAAAAAGCTAATTACTTCCTCTATATGGAGTCTGGTCTCAGAGCAAGGGCTGCCTCATTGTTTTCCTGTGCCCAGTGCTCCATCCAAAACGTGCTATTCTACACTGAATTTCCTTTCCACACCTGGTCTTTGCTTAAGCTGTTCCTCCCATCTAAAGTGTCATTTCTCGGGATCTTACTCTCCTTCAGTATCCAATTCAGATGCCACCTCCGTCATCCTTGAGAGCTTGGGAGGTCTAGGAGAGGATCCTAGCTACTCACCTACCCTTGATGGAAGAATGGTCCTCCTCTATTGGGGGAGGTTATCCCCTTCAAATGAACATACAGCTGTGCACATGGAGTAATGAGGGAGGAAGGGTATGCCTGCCTAGTCAGCCAGATCAGCTGAATCAACCCTGGCCATCAATGGGGTGACAGATGGCCCTGATGTCCTCCATCATTCTTTATCAACCCTGGACATAAAGCAGCGATCTTTCTTCTTCTTTTTCAGGGTCCATTGCTTTTACTTCCACTTGGCAATGGCTTTATTCCACCAACTTGTCACAACGTGCCATGTCTAAGTCTGTCTCCCACTAGATGTATGCTAGGAGAATGCCCTCCTCAAAGTACCTCTTCCCCATCCTTGGAAGCTGTGAATGTGTTTCAGGCTACATGGTGAAGGTGGGATTCAGGTTGCTAATCAGTTGGCCTTGAGATGGGGAGTTTGCCCTGGATTATCTGGGTAGTCAGCAAAATCATGAGTCCTTAAAGGGAGAAAAGACACAAGGTGGTCAAAGAGATGCTAGATTGAGAAAGAAGGGATTCTAAGCATGAGGGGTACTTGACTCAATGTGTTGGCTGTGCTGATGGAAGAGGAGCCAACAGCCAAGGAATGAGGACAGTTTTTAGGAAGTAGGAGTGGCTATCAGTTAACAGCCAGCAAGGAGACAAGACCTCAGCCCCATAACTGCAGGAAAGAGAATTCTACTTCATGAGAAGGGACCAGTTTCCCCTCCAACCTCCAGTAAGGAATGCAGCTCTGCTGACACTGATTTTACTCTGGAAGACAGATGGGCTATAGAACTCTGTGATCATAAGTGGGTATGATGGACTGGTGAAGTGGCTCAAGTGGTAGAACACCTGCCTAGCAAGTGTAAGGCTCTGAGTTCAAACCCCAGTATGAAGAGGAGGAGGAGGAGAAGGATAATTAAGTGGGTATGATTTAAGCTACTACATTAGTGGTGACTGGTGATGGCAAACCTGGGGAACCAATACAGATGAAAAGTTCATTGAGGGTAGGGGTCAACTCTGATCCCCCCCTCACAGAGCTTAGCGCGCGCACACACACACACACACACACACACACACACACAAAGCTGAGCAATAAAAGGGCGTAGTTTGATGTCACCAAGTTCTTCCATGGGTAAGGTGGGTTAAGCATTGAACAATATCTGAGGAAGGAATGACCCAGCAATTGGGCTGTCACCTAATGTCCCCACCCCAGTGAGTGATCAGCAGTGGCTCATACCTAAACACTGTCCCGACTGGCGATCTAGGTCAAAGCCGTTAGTGCACTGTTGCTGTAGAGAAGGAAAAAAGAAGAAACAGGCAAGGTCATTTGGCTTGCTTACTTCCTTATTACTGTGAATCTGTTATAGTGGCATTGCAGAAAGTTGGGAAATGGAATTTTTTTTAAAGGCATTCATAATACCAACACCTATATCATAGCTCCTTTTAAAATTTTTCTTCATAATCATTTTACACTTAGCATTACTTTTAAAAGTTCCTGCCCCATTGCTTCTGACTCCTACTTCTAGCAGTTGTTATTGGGTTTTTTAATGCCGTTGCTATGAAGAGCAGTGGTGATCCCATCTGACAGTCATGGTGCAGTGTGTCCCCTCTATAGCCCCTTTCTGGGAATGGTTAAGACAGCACTTAAGAACAACAGTTCTCTCTTTAGGGTCTATTTAACTTCTTCTCAGAATGCAAGATAATGCCCTGTATAGCTATCCTTATCTCAACCAGCAAAACCCCTTGTTCCTTCCTATTATTGCTTATACTCTCTCTACAACAAAATTAGAGATAAGGGCAAAATAGTTTCTGCTGGGTATTGAGGGGGGGGGGAGCGGGAGGGGTGGAGTGGGTGGTAAGGGAGGGGGTGGGGCAGGGGGGAGAAATGAACCAAGCCTTGTATGCACATATGAATAATAAAAGAAAAATGAAAAAAAAAAAAGAATGCAAGATAATTCTTTGTCCCCAATGAAATGCTTTCCTCGATTCTCAGTCCTATTGAAAAAATAAAAGCTCCATGACACATATGGTCCATTTTCTCAGAAAAGTAGGATTGACTGGGAAAATTCATTTCAATCCCAGCAAGACAATTATACAAAGGTGCTTCCAGAAAGAGACATATTTTAGCAATCCCAGAGGATTGTGGGTTTATATACAACTTGAGCTACAACTTTCTCTCCTTTAAAAAAGGAGTCTTGGGGGCAGACAATCAGAGGCCTTTTGGAAGTGCCTGGAGCCCAGTGTGAGACTGTGACTATGGGAGTTCCTGTCCCTGGCTCTCCCTCCAGCTTCAGGGTTGGGCTTCCCTGGGGCCTGGGGATGAAGGACATGGAACAGAAGAGTCAGGAGGCCATGCCCTAAAGCACAAGAGACCTGGGTTTCAGCCCTGCTCTCCAGTTCAGTGCTGGAGTGGGTCCAAGTCCACTGACCTACCTGGCTTCCAATTCTCACTCTAGCCCCTACTCACTGCACAACTTTTCTATGCCTCAGTTTCCTCATTTGTTACATGAGAATGAAAGTTCTTACTTCTAAGGGCATGCAAAGACTAAATGCATTAAAATATGCAATGTGCCTGAACCACAATGAGCACAGTCCTGTGACCACTCTCCTCTGTGGGCCTAGATGTCCTCATCTGTATGAGTCCGGGTTAGAAGACTCCAAGGTCCCCCTAAGGTCTAAATTCTTTGTTTCTTTTCTCAAGACCCTTCCCATTTCCAGTGACCTGAATATGCTTCAGAATTCTTTGTGTGTGTGTGCGCGTGTGCGTGGGCAGTGCCGGGCATTCAACCCAGGCCTTGTACAACTACTCTATCACTGAGCTACTGTTTCAAAATTCTTTACCTGAAGGAAGACAATGTCCCCTCCCTGCCCTCAGCTGCTCTGCCCTGCTCAGAGGCAGGCTCCCCCCGCATTCCTTTCCAAGCAAAGGCTCAGTGGGCCCACTCTGAGATGTCAAGAGGGACCCCTCCACTTTTCTCAAGGGCTGACACACCTGAGGCCAACCTCTTGTGGCCTCACAACATGTAGAATGCTGTAGGCTTCTCTCAGATCCTGTCCTGGGGCTAACCTCACTGTCTTTACACTCCTCTGAGGGGCCTGGGCCTCCCAAGAGTGAGAGCTGATTTACCCAACACTGCATGCTGGACTGTCAGGGTGGCCTCCCCTTCCTCCCCACCTGTTCCACTTGCGGTTGTGTATGTGGAGACATGCGCAGACCTAAGGGGCCCTATATTGTCATCACAAGGCACCATTCCCCTCAATCTACAGCACATTTCACTAGAATTTAAGATGAACTGGAGCTCTCTGAGGGACACAAAGGAGGCAGCATGAACTAAGTCTTGGGTTGGGGTCAGCTACAATCCCAGCCCTACTACTCAGAAACTATGTCACCTGGGCCAGTTACAGCCTCTTGGAAGCTCAGCAATTACTTCTATAGACTCCAGTTAGGAAAACCATCAAGCCCCTCCCACCTCCACAATCCTGGGATTCTAAATGTGTGCCTCACTCCCTTGCCCTATTTTTTTTTTTTTTAGCACACTTCTGGATGGCTTAAAAAATTTTTTTTACCTGTGCATTGCCAGGATTTGGAAGACAGAGGGCCAGAATGGTAACGGTGAGAATCCTGTGGAAAGTGAGAAACAGAGTGTGAATCCCAAGACATATTTGGGCTGAGGAAACATGGATCTCATGCTGCCTGGACATTTATGATGATAACTTGGCCATGTTTTTGTAGGTGCCTGGAGAGGCCAAGAGGCCACCTAGATCCCCAACCATCCCAAACAGAACCCATCTCTTCTATTTGCTTCATGTATTAGGAAACTGATTTAAATCCCAAATTTTAATAAAGGGTTTTGCTGCTTAAAAACAAAAGTCAAAACCCCACCACTGTAGGATTTACAAAGCATTGGCCTTTGGTCCTTATGCAAGGAGACTTCTCCAAGCTTTGAACATCCTCATTCAAAGCCAATGAAACATCGCGCCTTCAACCATGGGAGGAACAAAATGGGAATGTGGGGCCCTTAGAGTTCTGCTAAGAAAGGGTCACAGGAATCACCTAACCAGAACTCAGAGGCCTTGGTTCACACATGTGAGACTCCTAAGTTAATGGATGGGCTTGAGTGACCCAGTCCCCCAACCCTGGCCCTAGAGCATGGCCTCTGGGAACTACCAAGCCAGGAGTGGAGGACTGGGAACCCTGTGCCCTGAGATGAAGAAATGCTGCAGGAAACAGCTAGAGAAGTCAGGCTAACATGGCCACCCACGTGCTACTAAGTCTCTCTATGCCTGTCTGCAATTTAGCCCTCATCACAGCCATACTGTTATGTGATGAAATCAAGGTCACCAATGTGCTTTAAAAATACAGTCTTGCTGGGCATTGGCTCAAGTGGTAGAGGGCTTGCAAAGCATGTGTCAAGGCTCTGGGTTCAATTCCCAGTACTTTTTTTTTTTCCTGTACTGGAGTTTAAACTCATGGCCTCCATATGCTAGGCAAGCCCTCTACCACTTGAGCCACATCTCCAGTCCTAAAAATACAAAGTCTATACCCCTCATACCCACTAGGCTGGATATTTTTTTAAAAGCAGAAATGACAAGTGATGGGGAGGATGTGGAGATAGTGGAACCCTGTGCCCTGTTGGGGGAATGTAAAAGTGGCATAGCCACTGTGGGAAACAGCATTACAGCACTCCCAACAATTAAACAAAATGACCACCTGATCCAGCAAGTCTACTTTGGGACAAAGACGCCAAAGTTCTGCAAGCCAGGACTGGAACAAAATGTGTATACCCAGGCTTACAGTGGAGTCACTCCCAACAGCCAAAAGACAGACACAATCCATGTCCATGGATGGATGAACAGTTAAACAACACATACATACACACACACACACACACACAAGGAAATATTATTCAGACTTATATACTTAAATTGGTTTTTGGTAGTACTGGGTGGGTTTGAATCTCGGGCCTTGTACTTGCAGGCAGATGCTCTTCCACTTCCATCCCCTCAGCCTTATTTTGTTGGGTTTCACATTTTTGCCCAGGGCAGCCTCAGATTGGCCTGGGACTGAGATCCTCCTACCTCTGCCTCCTGTGTAACTGGAATTATAATACATACCACCATGCCCAGCTTATTGGTTCAAGTGGGAGTCTTATTAACTTTTTTGCCGAGGCTGTTGTCAAACCTCCCAATCTCTACCTCCTGAGTAGCTGGATTAGGGTTAGGATTTAGCTTGAAGTTGGAAATTTTAACACATAATTCAGTATGGGAAGCTGGGCATAGTGGTATTTGTCTGAGTCCCAGCTACTCAGGAGGCTGAAGTGGGAAGATCACTTGAGCGCAGGAATTCAAGGCCAACCTGGCAGCACAGTGAGACCCCATCTCAAAAAAAAAATATGGATGACCCTTGAGGATGTTATGAGTGAAATAGTAGAATTCCACCTATGTGAGGTGCATAGAGTTGTCAAACTCATAGACACAGAAAGTAGAACAGTAGTTGCCAGAACCTGGGGGAGGGGAAAGGAGAAATGTTGCTTAATGGGTACAGGGCTTTAGTTTTGCAAGAGGAAAAGAGTTCCAGAGACTGGTTGCAGAGAAAAGTGAATATACTTAACAGTACTGAATTAGACAGGTCAAAACGGTGAAGACAGAAGAGAATCCCAAATTTCGCAAACTTATTAAGTGCTAGTTATTATTCAGCTCAATAGTGATTTATCTGAGAGCTACTGCTTGCTGTGAGGACACTGCAGAAGAGCTACAGAATGGGGACCCAGTCACTACCCTCACAGCTGGTTGGTTTGCCACCTGGACACTGACAGAAATACCCAGTGGGTGCCACAAGAGCCAGGCTGGGGTAGGACCAGGAAAGACGGGGAAGACTTCCCAGAGAAAGTGATCTTGAAGGTGTTTTCAGCTAGGTAGTGGACCTGGGGCCTGGCTGGATTCTGTGGCCTGTTACTGCCATGGTGCACCACCGCTTTTCAAAGAGGATGTTCAGTAGATTACAAAGCTCACACATCCATGACACCCAGCTCAGGTGAAAGTACAACCTGTGTATGAAGAGGGCACAGACTTCAGGTGACATCCAGAGAGAACAGAACACTAATCTGGTGCCCACTTCCTTCCTCTAGTCCCCAAAGAATAAAGACCCCAAGACTCTCCAGGTTTTCAGATCCACTAAGTGCCTGCATGAGCCAGGTTCTCGAACACTGCAGACAGCTCTAACCATATAAAGTACAGAGCCAAATCCTAGGGCTTTTTGATATTTGCAACAGCCAGATTTATATCTGGAAGGAATGAAAGAACAATAACAAATTTATTTTCCAGTCTGTATATTCTGAATTTCAATGTTTTCCTGTTTCTTCACATGAAGTTTCCTTTTGGGTGGTTATAAAATCCTGTCTCGTTTATGTTGGAGACAGAACAGGCTGACTGCATGCAGGGGACTTCAAGAGCTAGTGGAAAAGGCGTGCTAACCCTGCCTCTCCCCCTACTCCTGCTCCCTAGTCCCTTTGGCTAGAGGCAGCCTTCAGCTGGTCCAGCCACAAGCCCAGCCTCCTGGAAGAGCCACAGCTGGGGTCCTGGGGGCCAAATAAGCTTCAGGCAAATGGGAAGGGTTTCCAAAGTGAAATAATACCCAACCCCGCTGCTTCCAGCGTCATGAATAAATGCACCTTGTCATGAAAACCCTAGAAAACTCCAGACAGGAATGAACCACAGTTAATACTGGAGAGGGAGAAGGAGGGAAGGAGGTGCTTGCAACCGGCCCCTGGAACTTTCTAAATTCAGGTGGGTCCACCCATTTTGTGCATCATCCTAAAATACAAGAAAGCCAGGCAGAGCAGCCATATGTCAGCAGTTTGTCACGGAAGCGCTGGTCCTCAATCCTGGATGACATTATTGCTGCTAGTTTTTAGCATGCATGCACAACGCCCGGCCCCAACACCAATGGTTAATTTGTGTAAAGCAGCTATAGGTTCAAGAGGCGGCTGGAGGAAGTGAGTGCAAATGGCATCTTTAAAGTTCTTCAAGGTTTGAGGCGTACTCCGCTGGAATTGCAATTCCCGCAAAGAACAGCAAAACGTTTGCTTACATGTAGCTCTGTCTGCAGCCTCCACTTTTCATTGGCTCGAAACTTGTGGGTCCTATGCCCTTTGTGAATCCCACACAGGCATGGAGCAAACACAGCCCACGATGTTCAGTGACTCCAAAAGCCCTGGCTGCAAAGCAATTGCTCGTGGACTCGCAATCGGTCTCCCAAGTGTAAAAGAATTATTAAATAAATAATTAAAAAAAAACCCCAAAAAACTGCGCATCAAAGTGGCTGTCCCATCAGAAAAAGCAAAAGGACTAAAGCACCCAGACGTTTTTTCTGCAGACCTCTCTCGGATGCTGACTTCTGCAACTGTGTTACAAAATCCCCACTCCCAAACCCAGGCTTTGAGATGGAAATCACAGAGCGCAGCTTTTTATAATTAACAGTATCATTGCATCACTGCCTAATGTCTTTTCCAATACCCTGACACGGCCGGAATCTCAGTCATAGCCATTTTCCACCCATCAGGTTTTTTAGCAAGGTCTCCTCCTCCCAGACCCTGGAGAAAGCAAGGCCGGCGCACACAATTTACCTTTTTAATCCTGGCATGTCCGAGATGCGCGCGGGGCAGAGGCGAGGCGGGAAGAGATTGCTGGCGGCGGGAGCTCGCTCGCGGGGGCCGAGGGGCTCGCGGGTGACTTGGTGGCAGAGGGGCGAGCGGGTGGTGGCGAGGCCAGGGAAGCGCGCCGCGGTGCTCCGAGCCACTGCAGAGCCCTCGGAGCGAGCACCTGGTTTCGCTTAGCCCTCTTCAGTAATTCAGCATTAAACCAATTGGGGGAGGAATGTTAAAAATGAACACTTCATTTTCTAAGTATGTTAAACAATGCAAATGGAGCCTCGGTCTGGACACAGCTGGTTCAGATTACAGCGCTCACCAACTGGCTAGACTCCTCACAACAATCTTGGGGCGTCTGCCAGAGCCAAGTGCTCGGTGCTGGGAGGGGAGCCCGGGCCGCGCTGGGCTGCGCTGAGCTTGTCTGCGGCAGACGCTGGGCGGGTGAGTGCGGGGCGCCGGCCGGGAGCGCGCGGGACCCCGAGTTCTTCGCGGGGCGGGGCGGCGGAGGGGGCGAGCGCGCCAGGTCCCGTGGCACAGCAACGCGCGCGGGGAGATGATCGGGGCTGAGACCCAGTGATTTGAACTCAGCACCAATGCAGCTGCAGGGACCAGAAGCATATGATTGATTGGGAAACCAGAGGCCGGGGACAAGGGACTCGAGATCGCCAGGACCAGGGGTGGGGAGGAGGATGGAGTCCCGACAGTGCTAACTCAAAACTTGGAACCTTAATGAGGACACCCTTCCCTCCCCGCCCTCATCTTCGGATTCTCCCTGGGATGGTCTTGCAGTAACTAAAAAGTGTCCCTCGATACAATGTGTGTGTGTGGGGAGAGGGGTTATGGGCTTCCTATACACATCTGAAATAGAACGATGCAACCTCTTGCAATTGCTTCAAGGGGGATGGGGAGGAAGTGAGGAGCTGGGGAAGGTGATGGGGGCTATCTAACCTATGTATGATGTAAGGCTATTTGGAATTGTCACAATGAATCCCCTCTGTTCAATGAGTACATGCTAATAAAAATGGAAAAAAAAATAAAGTGTCCTTCACTTGAAAGTGATTTTGTCAAGTAGAAGGGTGGTTTGAAAAAGTCAAAAGAAAGAAGCAGATTGATAAGCCCTGTGCTAAATCCTTAACGTTTATTATATCAGTGGCTTCAAACTATCTTGTGTGTGGGGAACTGGGGTTTGAGCTCAGGGCTTCACGCATGCAAAGCAGGTGCTCTATTGCTTGAGCCACACCTCTAGTTAGTTCATCTTGCTACAGTTATTTTGGAGATGGGGGTCTCTGAAACCATTTGCCCAGGCTGGCCCAGAACCTCAATCCTCCTAATTTCAGTCTCCCAAGTAGCTAGGAGTACAGGCTTGGCCAGCAGCTTTCTTGCTTTTTTTTTTTTAATCATTGGATCCCCCTTGTCAAATGAAATCATACCAAAGACACTATTCTATAAAAGATGTAAGTGGATTGGCTGATATTCAAGCCTTCCTCACCTGTGTCTTCTCTTGAGCCCCTCCAAAGCTCTACTTATAATTTAAAAGGTACACACAGAGGTGGTTCTCTCTCCTTAGCATATCACCATGCAGCAGGAATTACCTCCTTTTTGTGGAAGTGGGGATAAAAGATGTTAGGCAACTTCTCATGGTCACACAGCTAGTTATTCTTTGATATCACAGAGACTCCAAAACTTACAGATTTAGTTTAGCCTTCTTGAAGGACATTGTTTTGTAGGTAAATGGAATTCCATCTGTAAAAGTACGTTGCACTGAGCAAGAATGGCCTGATGGTGACGGTTGCTGAAGCTGAGAGTCCATTGTGCTTTTCTATTTACTCTGTTTGAAATTTCCAATTCTAAGACATTTTAAAAAATGTATTTTGTATACAGAGTTATTCATTCCTCAACCCCATTGTTTATAATAGCAAAAGGTTATGAACCTTTAAGGCCCATTAATAAGGCACCAGTAAAGTTAAAGTAAGGTACTTTAAAAAATGAGCAATATATAAAGAGCAACGATAAAAAAATTCTAGACACATAAGAGTATGTATTGGATGGCCCCATTTATTTAAACTCCAAGTGAGGTAGTGACAGGGAGGGGACATGGGGGACCTTCTGGGTACTAGGTAGTTTCTAATTATTGACCTGCGTGCTGCTTACCCAGGGGTGTGTAGACTTGGGTTTCATGAAGTCATATGTATAACTTTATGTATGTGTATACATATGCATATATATCTATATGACTGAAGAGGCTCCTTATGTACTAATATTGAAGGATTTTCAATATGTTTTGTAGGTCAAAATAGAAAAATATTGGTAATTTCACATAAGTGAATCTAATATACTAGTGTAAAAAGTATAACAAAAGTATAAAAAATACATTGAAAATCCTTCAATAATTTATCCACTTCCACAGACGAAATCACAAAATAATCAGTCTTGTTTTGAACAGCTCAGATTGTTAGAAAGTTCTATCATGAGTTGGACCTAAATCTGCTTTCTTATGAATAACAACCTTCCACGGGTCCTAATTCTCCCTCCCCTCTGCAACCCCAGACCACCCCCTCTTCTACCTAACAAGCTTCCTATTCAAGGAAACAGTCCATGTTATTACAGTAGATCCCCCCCCCACTCCCCCAACCCACAGTTTCAATTACTAGCATTCAACCATGGCTCAAAAATATTGAATGGAAAATTCCAGAAATAGACAATCCGTAAGTTTTAAATTGCACGTCCTTTTGAGTGATGTGATGGAACATTACCCTGCTCCACTCCATCCCACCCAGTATGTGAACCATCCCACAGTCCAGGGTATCCATACCCTATATACTACTCACCTGTTAGTCACTTAGCCATACTGGCAATCAGATCCACTGTCACAGACTCATAGTGCTTCTGTAAAAAATAATACTTATTTTACTTAATATTGGCCCCAAAGAACAATCGTAACATTGGCAATTTCATTACAGTATAGTTATAACTGTTCTACTTTATTACTTATTGTACTTAGTCTCTTCCTGTGACTAACTTATAAATTAAGCTTTAGCACATGTACGTATGGAAAAAAACACAGTATATGTAGGGTTTGGTACTATCCAAGCTTTCAGGCATCCACTGGCTCTTGGCTCGTATCCCCCATGGATAAGTGGGGACTCTTAACCAGACTGAACATTCCCACTTCTTTAATTGGTCCTCAGATCCATGACCCTGAGGTAACCTTGTGCATCTCCTCTGGCAGCTGCATCAGTGTCTTTTGCACCAGCAAAAACAATCTGTGTGACCCAGGCTACTTCGTACCCCTCCTTTGTCCTCTTCTTAGATTGCTAATTCTTTTTAAACAAGACCAGTGTTTTACATGTGTCCTTATTAAATTTTTATCCATTCTTCAAGTTCTTTTCATCACCCATTCCATTATGTGAACGATTAAGTGTTGCTCTTCACTTTGACAACTACAGATCTGAGAAATGCGATTTGACATTATAAGAGTCATCCATAAAAGTGTTAGGAGGACATGTGCTGGAGTGAGGCACTCTGCCCAGGATGGCACTGCTATCTCCCTCTATTCCACAGCTTGGGACAGTGCTGAGTCTAAGTCTGGGTGCCACCAGCTCCTCTCACAAAATAGCCAGTCTCACTGCTACATCATAGAAAGTGCTGTCATGAGTTGAACCCAAATCTGCTTCTGTGTGTGTGACAACCTTCCCTGGGTCTTAATTCTCCCCTCTGTAGCTGTGGGCCACCCTTGTTCTACCTAAGTAGCTTCTAGTTCCTGAAAAATGGTTCCCCTTGGTGGCAAAGACTTCATGAGAGACTTCATCAAACATTCTGATGATGTTAGCTATAGCAGGTCCTGGTCCAGCAACTCTATTTCGGAAAAGAGAAGGAGGCTTCTTTGGCCTGAGCTGTCTCCTGTTGGCTTCCAGGGATATTCACTTCCTTTTCTAGGGGTTTTTCTTTTGCAGTTGCAAAATAGGGATCCCAACATCTGCCCTACTTCTCAGATCAGAATCAAATAACAATCACAAATGCGAAACAGCTTCACTAAAGGTAAACTGTGCCATAAGTGGAAGAGCTTGTCATCTGTGGAAGGGGCCTTCTGGTTCCCACGAAGACCAATTTAAGGTGATATGACAAGTTGGGAAGAACTCACAAAATTGTGCATTTAATAATGAGCTTTGACTATTAATATGAAATCATTCATTTTTTCACTGTCCAAAAAAGAATTACATCACAATGCCATTCTAGGACTGAATGCAAAACAGGGGAAAGAATGTTACCGAACATCTGTCATGGGACTAGACTCTACACGCTCTCTTCTTTGCCATAAAAACCTGTGAAATAGGAAACAGTCCATTTTGCAGATCAAAAAACAGGCCTTGGGCCTGGGGGCATAACTCAGTGATAGAGCAGTTACCTAGCATGGGCAAGGCCCTGACTCCATCCCCAGCATTACAAGAATGAACAGACAAATTAAAGGGGGAGGGAGAGAGAAAGAGAGAGAAAAAGGAATGGAGGGAGGGAGGGAAGGAGAGAAGAAGGGAGAGAGGAAAGAAAGAGAGGGAAGAGAGAGGGAAGAAGAAAAAAGGGCCATGTGTTCCACTCCCAGCATTATATATACATATATATATACATGTATATGTATATATATATGTATATATATATATATATACATACAG